TCAGGTCGACTGGAGATCGTGGGATACGGAAGTGTGATTGAAGGCCAGCTGAACTGATCCCTAAAGTGTTCTGCCCATCGATCCAATCTCCTGGATTGAGAATGAATAATATGTCCACCTTTCTCTGAGATTGTTTCGCTAACGGTCGGGTTCCTAATTCCGGTTTCCTTAACGAGTCTGAACAATTGTCTGCTATTACCTATTGCCGCTGCCTTTTCCATCTCTCTTGCTTTCGCTACCCACCATTGTTCGCGATCATTGCGTAGACTTCTTGTCAGCTTGCGCTTAAGCTGACTCCGCTCTTCATTATGTTCAGAGCCAGGTGGAATGAGTTTACGAGCATCTATCAGTGAGATAGATGCTGCTGAGATCCAGTGTTGCTCCCTAACCTTCTGGTTTACCTTACTAGCAGATATCACTGCTGTTTCCACAGCTTTTCGGATATCATTCCATGCTGCATCGGGGTGAGCATCACATACATGGCTGCCTAACTGTTTTCCTAGTTGTTCCTGAAATATACTCTTAGCTTGACTATCATTAAGTAGGCCCCTAAGAGGTTTCCTTGCAGCGTCTTTCCTACGTCCAGTAAGACGCAAGCAAATACGCGCTCGCACTAGAGCATGATCTGAATCTAGGCATGTGCTCCAGAATGAGCGACAGTCTTCTATCAAGCCCCTCCATCGGTGGCTGATAGCGATGTGATCTATTTGGGTCCAACGTTGGGACGAATTAGGGGGTCTCCATGTTAAAAGATGTTTTTCCTTATGTTTAAAGTTAGTATTTGCAAGAAACAGGCGGTTATCTGAGCATAGCTGTTCTTTGAGCCACGACACCATAAGATCCATCTAGGTGTCTTTCCCTATCGCTTAGTTTATCTACTTGAGCATTAAAGTCACCAGCCATTATTACTATATCAGAGCGCCTAGCTTTTCGGAGAAGGTCGGAAAGCTTTCTGTAAAACTCATCTTTTACATCATGTGAGCTGCAGTCAGTGTGAGAATAGGCAGAGACGACGAAGAGGCAACAACCTGTGTCCCTATCTTTCTGAGTCCTTGCTGTTCCATTTAGTCGGACAGCGCACAAACGACTATCTACTGGGATCCACTCTAAGGGAGCAAGTTCTACCTTAGGACTCAATGCTATATCTACGCCGGTGAGGCCACGGGTAGCAGAATCAGGGCTTCCAGATACACGAAGCGTGAATCGAGTCGGTTCTTTATTTTGATATAGTGAGGTTAAATGAATGGCGCTACTTGGATCCTGTATGCGCGTTTCGGAGATGTAGCACACATCGATGGCGCGAGATTCCAAAGTCCTAGCTAAGAAAGCCTGTTGTCCTATTTGGCCCAGTGTTCGGATGTTCGAAGCTCCTACATGTAGTTTAGAGAGTGGTTTCAGGAGACCAGGAATAGCGTTGCACGTACTCGAATCGTTTGCCCTAGCGGTGCGAGGTGATAAAGAGACATGAGGAGGGTTAGTCGGGGAGATAAGAGAGGTATTAGAAGGTATAGGAAGGATTTGAATGTGACCAACTTGGTCTCTTGTGCTGTTACGGGTATGAGGGCTGATATCACTTCCCGGCTGCCCACACGGTGGAAGGGTATTTCTTGAGGAACCTGAAAAGGAAATTGGATTAGTGTTGGTCTTGACGACCTGGGAGCGTGACCGCAGAGCCCAAAGGACAACTGCTTGAGGCTGGTCGCGCCCGGCCTTTTTGTGGAAGGTTTTTGATGTGTTAGCTCCGTTCTTCAAAGGGCCTTACCGCCGGAGACGGAAATCCGTGAGGTAAGGTGAGGTGTGACATTTTTAGGGTCGACCTTTTCTAACCCCACCCCTCCTTGTAGGAAGGCAGCATCGCTGTCATGCTGGTTGTCCAAGGGAAACACCTTACTGCTGTCACACCCCTCTACAGTCAGCAGTACGACTTCGCCTTCAGACCTTGAGTTGCTGCTTTTAGTCTTACCGTTCACCAATCAACCTGCCTGGCATGGTAGAACCTGCAGGAACATATGTTCCAGCCAATATAGCTCGGTTGGGTCATCACGATAGGCAAGCCCGACCACCGCGTCAAGGTAGCAGCTTCGATTGGGTGTCAACTAAATAGGAAAGCTCCTTTGCTAAACGAACAAACCGCTCAAAAAACGGTAACATTTCTGCCATGAAGCGCTAACGAATATACCAGTCGCCGGAGTCCTTTAACACCGTAGATGGTTTCAACTATCTTTTTTGACTGCATGCATATTCAGTGAGGAATTAGTTAACAATCCCATTGTAATTAGAAACGATAGTGGGTTTCAAATTATTTCATAGCTTGTTAGAGAAAGAGAAATTTTCAACCTCAAACTGAATGATTCGATTTACTGGTGTAATTACAATGGGTGATTAAATAATGACTACGGATATGCGACAAAGGTATTTAAAACTACATTTTATTATCCAGCCTAATAGAAAATATGTGTGGAATGTTTATAAGCAAACTAATTTATTAACTTGTACACATAAATTTGTGTAATATCAATTTCTCAGCCACTAAATAATGATAATAGTATCGATCAAGTTTAGACAGATCTACCTTAGATTAAAATACCAATACTTCATCATAAAGAGTAATCTAATACCTTCTTACCTTGTGTCCAAAGAATTCGTAATCCAAATACTTATCAAATCGATCAGCAAAGTCTATCTCTGATGGAACCCATCTAACCTTTTTTTGAATGTAGGAAAAACATTGAATTTGATTAAATAACTTATACGTCAGCACCGAAAACCAACCAACAGATTCAGTTATTTACTAATACTTAAATATCATGTCATATATCCATATAACCATAGAAAAATCAAAATTGAACCAGTGAACGTTTATTTCAGAGATGTCAAACATTTTTAATGTACCGTTCAGTTACGAGATTACTTATCTACTTGGAGATATTTATGTAATATGGACGGTTATTGTTAAGACATTTATTTTGATTGCCTTTTCCTCCATTCTGATCTTTTATTTTAGAGTTATTTAGCCTTTTCCTTAATAGCTGATAGACTGGGTCGACTGATGCATGATTGGGGTGTTAAGCTTTGAAAATACTCTTTAGTTTTCTTCATATTTCTCCTGTTAAATATCTGTCCTCTAAGTCGAGCGCACGTCTATAAATATCTATATGAACTGATATGAACGAAGTTATGTCGTGACTGATGCTCACGCAGAAGTAAAAGGGTAGGGTGGCTACACTGCTCGATCCATTGCTTCTCATCATATTATAGATGATATTTGGTTTGTTTCCCTAACAAAAGCCTGAACACAAATACTTTAATATAGTGCAAATCCCAATTTAGATAATTAATAAAAAGACGAATAGATCGAAGAAATCCCTTTTTTATTAATGTCTCATCATGGCTTTATGATATATATATATATATATATATATATATATATATATATATATATATATATATATATAATATGATTTACTACAATAAAATAATACTAGTCGAGTAGTCGTGTCACATAATTGTATAATCTTAATGTGATTACAAAAATATTGAAAGAATTCTGATAATGCAATGGTCTGCGTAAATCGAAAAAATCAAATTGAACGGTCGCTAGATTACATAATATTTAATAACAATTAACAAAGTATTTTGAAAAAGTCGATTATCAACGAACAGATATCGATAATATGTGAGAACACAAACGTGAGAGATTATAAAATTTTCTATTTTTAGAAGTGGCGAAAAATCAGCTGGAGCGCGAATGATATATGAAATTGATTTTTTCCAATCATACGTGAAATATAATTACATCTCAAGCAGGATTATAGATGCTTAATTGTGTAACATGGTAAATATGTGTTCACACAGTAACTTACTGAATTATCATTTTTAAATACAATTTAGCTCACTTAAGACAAATCTGACTTTAAATGTAATTAAATGAATCATATAAAAAGTGGTGAATCAACAAATCATTGATTTATTTTGGCAGTCAAATAAATCCTTATCACCAGTCTTTGGTTTGCACTTCGCTGCTTTCTATTGTGCTTAATTTGCCAAGTGAATTCAACCAGAAGTCATTGGAAACAGCTAGGAAATTGGACCTGGCGTTCAATTAGCAGACTTATCATGAATGAATGGAGTGAATCGAAATTCAGCTAAAACTCACTTTCATATTGATAATCAAGATAGAGGAGTTGTACATACTTTTTAGTACGAAAGTCGGGTCTTTAAATGTGAATTTCTATAGCATCAGCAATATACAAAAGATGAGCCCGCAAACCATGCGGTGAATCTGATGGAATATGGTGGATGACCGTAAAAGCTTTATTCGGGTCAATGTGGTGAACTGTGTCCACTAAGCGTGGGAAAATAAAACACCTAAATGCTTTTAAATGTCTTTTGGTTAACCAAAACGATTATATAACTAGCTCAGCAGGAGCAGTTTAATTAATAAACACACGTGAATTTAGCGAATTCAGACAGTTTATCTTTATTGGCGATTCTCATTGCGTGACGATTGGGAATAATAAATCTTTTCTGAACAACTTTTCCTAACCTTTGTTATAACTTTACCGATAACACCAATTTAGAACTATAGATCCAAGAACAGCAACTTCTTTGGAACAGATGTTACCTCCGGTCTTGTTTGTTAACGGATTCACTTGAATATTATTAGGAAGGTTACGAATATTATTTGATCAAATACTACTATTAGCTAAATGTTACTTAATTAAATAATGTTCGTAACCTTAATAAGAGTGGACATGAAGACAAATAAACGTTCTAAGTTATTTTATACGGTGTACTTGATAGTAATTTGAATTACCTTGATTTATATTGTATATTCGAAGATAACCAACTAATAGGACGACGGTCGACAGACAGGAATAAAAACAATGTGCAACGTCATAAAGTCTCACTCTATTAAATATCGTAGACTTTAAATTGTAAGTAAATATACTGAAGTTTGTAATATTTAGAAATTTAAGACGGAATAGTAGACAGCTTACCTTATACGAGAATGTAATTTTGGTGTTCAGTTTTAAAGGAGTCAAGTCACCGTTGATTAAATTGACAAAAACTATTTGATTCTCATTATATCCGATTTCCAGTTCTTTATGAGTCCAAATACTAGGATGACCGTCTTTGCTTACCTCCCCAACAACAGCCCAAATCGGTAGATCATCCAAATACATTTGATACCAATATTGTTGCTCAACAGCTTTACTAAAAGCTATGTAAGCATCTGAATTGACATCAACTTCACACATCGTTGATTTAGGTTTGTTAACTAATTCAGAAGAGTTTATAAAAACATATACCCACTTTTAAATCGAATATCTATCCCGCTATATTGAAGTTCTGTCCCCTGTAAAGCTTCACCCAAAGTTTCATGGGTATGTTCAATTGAAATTTTAGGTCCACGACAAAAGGGCAAGGTAAAGTATCCGTAAGTTTCTTGACGATTATGATATGGTCCAATAGTGTTCATCCATAGAACCACTTCTTCTGCAACATCATACTAAAAATGAAGTCATACATTTAGAATGACTCATCAAAAATGCAGCAATTAATAAAATCCAACACATACTTTGACATGTCTGAATTGTGATAAATTCCTTAGTAAGAAGACGGTTTAGTTAGCATTTGGTTCAACTGCATGGAAATTAAGGTTGAAAATGCAAGCAAAAATCAACAGTTATGATAAGAGCGAACATTTCTAAAATAGCTACCCCCCATTAACTGCAACTGACATCTCGGTGATTCACGACAGTCAGTCATTCACTATCAACAAATGATCTTACACGAATTTTCATTGTTATTATTATTATTTACTAATTAATGGCTTTATTCAGTATTATATTTTGGTACAATATAGAATTCTCAGCATAGGGTATTTCAACAAGTTACTTATGCAAAAAAAAATGTTCAGATTCCCATTGTTCAAATAATCCCAACAAAAGATTTTAACATGAATAAAAATAATAATATCGGTAGCATAAAAAATATACAAAACAGAGTACAAAGATAATAAATGAAAAGTATGAAATGTTATTAAAACCCTGACCTTAAAGGGATATTAATGATGACATCTGAGCAACACCCAACCACACCACCTAAGATATATACAAAAGTAATTCACGGTCATTTCGTGGACCTTATAGATAAAATCTGGACCCACCGCCAGTCCATCTAATTAAGTATATCTACTGTAACAAGCGGACTTTGGAATAATAGTCGTAATTTCACCCTAACGAAACAGTTACATCGACGCAGACAGTTCAGTCAGCCACATGGACAGTATCTGTTCCTTTATCAGGTTTCGTGATAATAAAATTCTTGTCTTGTTCGCTATCAATGATATGACTGTTGTTTTGACTATTTTGTTGTTCGTTGCGTATCGATACGTTGGTGTGTATGGTATCTTGGGTCGAAAAGCATTTATTTCAAGTTCGAAGTTGAATATGGAAAGAATAAAGCTTTGCTGATATTTCCTTTACATAAAAACAGTGATATACAATCAACAAGATATCACAGTGAAAGATTAAGTTATTGAGATATTTTTAAACTTGGTTCACTTTCCCTGTATAGCAAATCTTTACTGATGGTATATGTAGGCAAAAGGGAAATAGAGTCGCGAACAGCAAACCTTCAGTAGTTTCTATACATCACTGCATCCCAAGAGTCCAAAAATGACAGCTAACAATGTGTACTGTCGAATACTAGCGTATACATTAAAACAACGGCAGTGATGGCGTGGTCGATTGTTCAGTGTATTAGATTGCCGTCAAACGACCGACCTTGGAAACGTATAAGGGAACTTTCGGGGAATTATAGGGGAGAACTATATTCTCAGTTAACTTGAGCGCCATCATTTTGTGTTTTCAATATTTTCCCAAAGAATGGTGGGGACCTTAATATATAATGTGGTGTAATAACAATCACTATATCCTGACTAATAGCTGCATATTTTTCGTCCAAAGAAATGAGAACGTAATAGTTCCGAGTCTGTTGGTATCCTGGTTATGCGAAAGTATCACTTTCCCCCAGTTTAATTATGACTGAACACAGTAAAAAGACTGAAGAACCCTTCAGAACAAGATAGGTAACAAACACCTAGTAGATTACAACGGACAGTCCCAATCAAATGACTCGTCATTAGGTACCTTCTGTTAATATATTCAAAACGAGATTTGACCTCCACAGTGTTACAAACTGCAAGGATTAATATAGGTCGATAGTCCTCCTACCCTTATTACTGAAGACAGTTCGACAGGCGTTAGTTCTTTAAATACAACTTATTCGCCATCTCTGAAAATGACTGCTTGACTCAATACAGGCAGTTAGTTATAAAAACTGACGGTACTGAACCTTCACTAGCGGACAGGATCGCCAAGGTAACTTGAATGGTTATAAATATATGATGGGCGCTTACAAGACTAAGTCGAACAAACCTACACTGACCAGTAACGTTTTTTTCTTTCCTTCAACAGGACCGTTGGCCAGTAAAACGGAAGTCTTGAAGTATGATCTACGAATTTAGATAAGGAAGGTAATAATATACACAAGAATTTATGACCCAAGAAACTCACTACATGACTATGTTCATCCGGAAACACGCCAGTTAAGACAGTGGACACAAACACAGCGAGCAACCTCAACATCACAGAGCTAATCTTGGCTGACAATGAATATTCTGGAACGTCTAATCGTCAGTAGGCTTGAGCACGATTTGTTGATGAGGGATGGAAAACGCGAAAACAGATCCAAAAAACCCTCCTTGATTATTTGAGAGAGAGAATAACAAAACGTTTTAGCGTTAAAGTCGGCAAGCGCAAACACAATAACAGTAAAGACTTAATAACGCCGAACAAACGTGGATCCAAAATGGACTAAAACGAAACCAAACGCGCTTCAGTCCCAGGCCTTAAAACACCCGGACAATTCAATATCCAATTCCGTTTCAGTTGGGAAAGGACAGGACGGTTGATGGCCTGTGTTAGTCCTGGTAATAGTGGTCTCTCGGTTGACCCGACTTTCTTTTGAAAGCGTCGACGGATGGAGCCTCAACCACGTGCCGAGGTAATGAATTCCACTTGTTGAGGGTTCGAGGGGAAGATCGATAGTCACCTGACAAATAATTTGTTCTGGGCTTGTGAACTATTTTGGAGTGTCCTCGTAAATTCTCTGTTTTGGAAGACCAGAAAAATGAGGGCATATCAGGTGCAAATTTATCATTAAGCAATCTGAAAACTGTAATCAAATCGCTTCTAGTTCTACGATATGACAACGGGAAAAGGTTCAGCTTGGCCAGTCGAACTTCATACGGAAGCTTCGCTATTCCGGGACTAAGCTTAGTTTCTGTTCTCTTAAATTTTTACAGAAACTCACTGCCTTTTTTTAAGCAGGGGTTAGCCGCTTGTATGCAGTGCTCAAGTTTGGGACGTACAAAGTCTATATACAAAGTCAAAAAAGTTTTAACGTCGACATGACTAAAAGCCCTACGTATTGACCATAAGGTTCTAAAACCTTTGGCGGCTATTGCACGGAAGTGTGCAGTAGTCTCAAGGTCTTGGCTAAAGATAACTCCTAAGTCATTATATGTCTGGACGACAGGTAGCTCGGTGTTATTCATCGTGTATGTATCTGTACCTTGATGACCGATATGCATCACAACACACTTGGAAGTATCTATCGACAACTTCCAGGTTTGAGACTATTCAAAAAATTTCTTCAGGTCATTTTGGAGTCATGAGCTATCACCTTTACATCATATCGTTCTCCATATCTTGACATCGTCAACATATAGCAAGACCGATGTTGATAGGAGACGAGGAAGTTCATTTATATACAAGGGGAATAGCACTGGCCCTAAAGCCTTACCCTGGGGCAATCCACTAAGCACGGCTTCCCAGCTAGATGACTTTGAGTTCACCCGAACTCTTTGCTGGTGCCCAACTAGGAAGTATTTTATCCACATCAATAGATTGCCTCCAATTCCGACATTTCTTAGCTTATATAACAGCTGATTGTGCGGAACTTTGTCAAAAGCTTTGCTGAAATCAATGTAGGCTACGTCTACAGGTAACTTTTGGTCCTTAAGAGCGCACCAGCTTTCACGAGCGACCAATAAGTTGGTGAGACATAAATAGTCTATCTTGAAACCGTACTGCTTCTCCAAAAGGATCCGGTTTCCATCGAGATACTTATACAGCTCCTTCCGAATAATCTTTTCTAAGATTTTAACAAGCACACTAGTTAGGCTAACAGGTCGGTAATTCTCAGGTTTATGTTTCGTACCTGTTTTGACGACAAGACTTACTATGGCGTTCTTGCAGTCTTTTGGTAAACGATCCTGCGTTACGGATAGATTAAAGCATATACTTAAAGGGTTCGCAACGAATTTAGATAATTCCTTCAGTAGCCTAGGATGTAATTCATCGGGCCCCGTGGATTTACCTATGTCAAGCTTATTTAGTAGACCAAAGACATCGAGTTGTTTAATGGTCACGCCATCCAGTGTATGTGTGGAGGATCTGTATGCGCTGATGGGAAGGGTGCTTCTATGGTGTATACATTGCTAAAGTAGTTTGAGAACACTTGAGTCTTACCAAAGTCGTCCTCCACGGGTGACGCGGCAGTACTATCTCCCCACAGAACAGGAATATTACCTCTTCTCTTTGTCCTTTGGTTTATATAAGAATAAAAGCGTTTAGGACATTCTATGGATTTCTTAACAATCTTTTCTTCGTACAGATTTCTAGACTTACGGAGGGTCGGGGCACAGGTATTCCGAGCTTTTCGATACTGAGATTTTGTCTCATCGGTCCCCGGTAACTTAAATCTATCCCACTTTTTCTCTTCTCTTACGGAGAAGGATGCGGACCTCCCTACTGAGCCATGATAGTTTCTCAGCGCCCTCCGTATAGTCCAGTGGATGCGGTAATTTTTAAGCATAAACTTCGAAATGCCTCCTAAGCCGTTTCAATTGAGGACTCTGAGTCTATTGTCCAGTCTACTAACGATGCTGAGTGCGTGATATCCGGTATGTTTGCTTTCCAGACATTAGGTCTGGATTGAGCTCATGCGTGCTCGTGATTGACAGTTATATGAAAGTCGAAAGTCAAAACTGCGTGATCACTTTTACCTAGGGGTGGCACGTAATGGAGGTTCTCAACGTCATCCTCATAATGAGCCAACATAAGACCTAGTAAGGATGATTCAGTCTCCGGGTCGTACCTAGTCGCTTCTTTCACATGTTGCACTAGGTTACATGTGGTAACCACATCAACTAGTTCCTGATCGAAGGTATTTTCTGACGATTCAGTTCGCAGATTTTCCCAGTCTAGCATAGGTGCATTAAAATCCCCTAGGATTAGGCATCGACCACTTTGTGACCAAGTATTGAAACTTCTTAGCAGGACCTCATTTACCTCACAACTTGGACTGCTATAGACCAAACCAATCAGCAGCTCATATCCCTTACATTTCGAGCGGCAACTAACTAACACGTCCCACTCTCATCGGACACACCGTCGATAATTGCAAATGGGATAGCATTCCTAATGAATAGAGCTACTCTCCCTCCTTTACACTTTTGTATTCTGTCGGCCCTTACTAACGTAAAACCCTCGAAATCAAGTTCCATACTGTCTATAGACTGTGTCAGCCAGGTTTCTGTGACTGCGATTTTGTCTGGCTTTGTAGAGTCAATCTGAATACCTAGTTCCGATCGCTTATTGAGTAAGCTTCGGGCATTAGTGTAGCAGATCCGAAGCCCATTTAAGTGGCTTCGTGCTTCACCCATAGTGGCTTCGGCATCATTCTCTGTCGAAGCCTTACAACCCGAAAATTTAGAATTTTTTGGTTCTTTTCGCCAGTGTCTAACCTAAGTTGTAGTTTTTTCGGCTTTTCGTCTTTTTACACTGTCCGCCAACGGCAAATCCTTACGAACAAAAACTCCTAAATCCTTTAATTTATGTCCATTATGTAAAATTACGTCGCGTTCATTCGAAGATTTGAATACTACTTTAAGCATTCTGGATTGATTAGGCTTCAAGTTCGCTAGACTACCTAGTCTGTATACCTTTAGCAAGGTGACTCCGGAAATATTTTCAGGCATGAGATGATTAAGTAGCTGTTCTATCGGCACAATGTCATGCTGAAAACCAGTTTTTGGTTCATAGCTTTCACTCTTCCTGATTCTATGAAAAATAACTGATCTGTCACTTCGATGAGCCTTCGATTTCTTGACTACTTTTATGGGGGCAGGATTCTCTTTTATATCGTTGTTTTTTTCTTTCTTACAACCTGTACCCATTCGTCAACGTTGCTAGGAGAAGCAACCACAGTTGCATCAAACATACTGTGGGATTTTGGAGAGTTGTCGACGATTTGGGAGGTCAGGTTATGTTTCCCGCTAGAAGCCGATCGAGCCTTTCGATTGCGGCTTCTAGGCGTTTCCTGTTCGATACCATTTAGAAGACGTGGGAGAGAAGAAACTTTTCTTGAGGTTTTGGTTAAGACAGACCTCTTTGAAGACAGTTTTTCCTCCTTTGGTCGGTGTGAGTCACCTGTTTTCGAACTCATCTGCGTTTGCTTCATACCAATTTGCGTGTCGACAGAGCAAGTACTGTTCAATGTGTACCAACCACGCTTTCCAAAACACTTTTTGCAGCATTTACAAATAGGATGTCCTCGGTTAGCAAGCTGTTTGCATCCAAACAGCACTTTAAACAAAGCCATACACAACCGTTTTTACTGAACCGTTTGAAAGCCGCAGGCGTTAAATTCGTGCAAACGTCATCGTAACAGCCCTTGCACTAATCGCACTGCATGCCACTTTCAATGGGACAATGACAGCCTGGACGTTGGCGATTGCCTTTTTTGCACTGTCCAGTCATCAGACAGAGGTTTTTTTAAAAAGAACTAGATGCGATAATACTCAGTGGAAAAAATGATCTCTAACCAAAAAGTGGAAAACTATAGATTGATAGAACCAAAAGTGCTAACAAATAGAACAGAAAACAAAGTACTTAAAAGTACCGACGACAAACTAATTAAGACACAGAAACGATAATCTAGTCGAAAACTTCAACTGAAATAAATTCAATTAAAGTGAAAACAGTAGTCTTGATACGTAGTTAGCGATCAAAACAATAGAATTGACCCACAAGGAAAAGTACCACTGTCCTTTTAATATATACCCAACACTTTTCTGGTGAGCTATTGTAAACCAATTAATTCCTTTGTGCCCTCTTCTTGATTTCGGCGACATTTCTGATGTTTGATGTCGTCCAGTATGTGAAGATAGTTGAGCAAAAACTCAGAAATTGTCAATGATATTTCATAACCATGCCTCAATCTCACATTTCTACCTAGCTTACAAAGTCGTTAACAATGTCAGTAAGACGACGTCAAACAAATCTTCATTTAAAATTTCCCCCTACATTCTGACAGAAATTAGTGATAACAGACTGAAAAGAAAGACACATAATCTAAATACTAAAGAAAGATCTCAGCAAGTGTACGAACCGCAGAGGCATCACCCTCCCCTCAACAAGACAGACCGAGTGGCAACAATACGGATCATGGAGCAACAATCAGTTTAATGGAATTCATCACACTGCATCAACTTCATTGAATACGAAAAAGCATTTGCTAGCTTGGACAAGACAACAACATGGATGCTTTTTCGACATTAAGACGTACATGTCTTAGTTGAGCAAAGGAATGTATATGTTTATAAGTGTACAGGCATGATGAAAAACTAATTGAAAAGAAATTTCTTCGCTCCGTTCATCCTTTTCACCAAATGTTACGATGGCAATTTTCACTATGAAGTCAGTTTCTCAAGAAATCTGTCTTCAGGCTCATTCGAAATGTTGTACCTTTCTAGCTAGTTGCTACATTCTTCACTAGGGTAAG